TGGTTTGTATTTTTTCTTCATTTTAATAAATAAAGATCAACACAGAAATTTGTTTCATTTTCTAGTAGAACGATCTTTATCCAAAATCTTTTCTAGTCAGTACTAAAATGCAGCTTACTAATGCAGTACTAAAGTACATATTGATCAAAATATACGTTTGATTTTAAGAAAAACACATACAAACTCGTTACAAATTATTTCTATCACTATTATCATGATCAGTTAAAAATAATATGCAATTATTAGATTTTGTGTGCACGATTTCATTGTAATATCATAAAATAAATAAAATCTTGTCCTAAACAAAATATTCTCAAAAAAGACTAAAAAGGTAGCAGACAAAATCAATGCCCGTGCCATCAGTGCCATGAGTCTGGTTTATGTCATTAATTACTAGATGGCAGCACAAAAGGTACCACTTCTACTCAACGGTAGATGGCGTACTGTGTCTTGGTGATTGTAAATTTCCTACTTGATACAAGATGGCAGTACTGAATAAATACTTACTAATAATTTTGCACAAATATCAAAGGTTTCCTACTCTCCTCTATTTAAACCAAGAGTTTACAACAGAAAAATGGATTTTCGTCCTTTACAGATTCAGTGTCCCGCACTACAGAAACAGAAGCGGTTTATATACCCAGATAGAACCTCATTGCGGACATGTAGAACAGAACAAGATACTTTTCCTTACACCTATGAGCTGGTCAAAAAATTTGCTCGCTTGTATTTTATAGGTTCTTAATTTAATACAATATTTTTTTAAGGGATTTACTTTTTTACCAGATATTTAAAATGTAAGTAGGCATAATTAAATTATAAAAAGTGATTGAACTTAACCTAGAAATCAGCCCTTGATGATGAGATAGATAAAGAGAGGAAAGCGTCTCGTAGCAACAAAGTCTTCCGTTTTTCCATTACAACATTTTAGAGCAAACTGACGCAAACATCACATAAAATATTCACTGATATTCATAAAAGATACAGTTTCCTGAAAGCTGAAAGGGCGCGGGTCGTTTGAGCTCTCAGGCGGTCGGATGGTCGGATGGTCGGGTGGTTGGGCCAATTATGAAAATAGCACACCTGCGCTTGTCAAACAGGCCGCGCTTGTCTGCCGGCCGAACACCATTAATCTTGCTCGCTCCTTGTGCTCCTACAGTCCTGGTACCTTCGTGGACTTCGTTGGGACTTGGGATATTGCTCATCTTGAAACGCGGTATTTTTGATGGAAATATTTTAGATAGACTACCCTTCTTCTATAAAATAAATAAATAATTCCTTACTTACTGCTCGCTCCTACAGCCCTGGTAAAGAAGCCCACGAAAGGATATTGCCCATCTTAAAACACGCAAGGTTTGACGGGAATATTTTAGATAAGTAGACAACTTACTCTAATCTACACAAAATAAGTCTCAACTGATTGCTCGCTTCTTATGATCCTACAGTCCTGAAACCTTCGTTAGCTTCTTGACAAAAGTATCCGACATACCTCAGGTATACCTCCTTTATACAACAAATGTTTAAAACAAAGGTACAATAGGAAATTAGCTTAATTTATTTTATCCCAGAAGCGTTTAGAACTGACTCAAGTTATACTAAAGATGGTATTGCCGGCATTTTCGCTAAATACTACAACACCACGAATGTATCTAATACTTAACTATTTAAGTATTTTAGGTAAATTGGTGTCACTCATAAAGGATTATGTACACTCCTTCACATGAGTCTGACCCCAGTCTCCACACGAAAATCTGACATAAGAGTATCCAGGGGCACCTTACCTAATGAAGACTATTAATCATCAAAGCAGCTTGTCCAACTCGGTTCTTAAGAGAGAAAAGCGCCCTCGACGCGGCCTTAAGCCGACATGTGTGCCAAAACTAACGATGTACCAGTTCTGCTTAAAAAACTCAAGGATGGAGATGGGGCGCGATTTTAGAATCCGTTAAACTGTAGGTACAATTCTGTTCATAGTTAAGAGATACCCATACAATATGGCCTAGTTCTCTGAAGTTGTAGGATCATTACTTTATTTAATTAGCCTTTATTTTTTCACGTCGCCTTCAATGTTTTTTTTTTTGTAGAAGCTGAATATGGCAAGTAAGTATCAGGCTTCAAAATAAGATATCTAAAAATGGTAGCTTAGGAGAACCTAGTTCATACCGTTCAAGTGCCAGCGGAAGTAAAAAAATGGTTTCTTATTTTCATTTAAAACTAAAGCTTCAATTAAAGTTTTTCTGGTTGTACTCTGTCTTGAAGGTTTAAAACCAACAGATGTCAAGTGGATACGGCAGAAATTGAAATCAATTAAGAGCCTAAAGAAACGTACCCCATGTACGGTGATATAAGAATCGACCCACATCCGAATGTCGAAAATTGTGTAACTGAACTGCATTGAAAGCAGGAAGGGCCCCGTCAGAAATACTATTATACTGCACATAATTAATGAACTGCTTATTCAAATACATTTAAAACTATTATTCATGCCGTTTACGTTTCAAAAGTTCCGACCATTTCTTTGAAAGGACTCCTTTTTGGTTATTAATTAAAAAATCTTGCCGTCTTCTGCGATTTTTAAATAGTTCCAAGTTGAGGCGGAACGGATCGAAAAGCGTAAATATTTTTTGTTCGCTATTCATTATTTACTGCAATTACTTACCACTGAGTGGTTGAAATTTACTCGTATTTAGGTACTGCCTACTGAAAATATTATTCATTTTTCATAACTTCTGAAAGTAAACACCTCCTAGTAGTCTAGTAGTGAGTATAAATTTTGGAAAAATGCTATATGCCTTAAGCCGACATGTGTGCCAAAACTAACGATGTACCAGTTCTGCTTAAAAAACTCAAGGATGGAGATGGGGCGCGATTTTAGAATCCGTTAAACTGTAGGTACAATTCTGTTCATAGTTAAGAGATACCCATACAATATGGCCTAGTTCTCTGAAGTTGTAGGATCATTACTTTATTTAATTAGCCTTTATTTTTTCACGTCGCCTTCAATGTTTTTTTTTTTGTAGAAGCTGAATATGGCAAGTAAGTATCAGGCTTCAAAATAAGATATCTAAAAATGGTAGCTTAGGAGAACCTAGTTCATACCGTTCAAGTGCCAGCGGAAGTAAAAAAATGGTTTCTTATTTTCATTTAAAACTAAAGCTTCAATTAAAGTTTTTCTGGTTGTACTCTGTCTTGAAGGTTTAAAACCAACAGATGTCAAGTGGATACGGCAGAAATTGAAATCAATTAAGAGCCTAAAGAAACGTACCCCATGTACGGTGATATAAGAATCGACCCACATCCGAATGTCGAAAATTGTGTAACTGAACTGCATTGAAAGCAGGAAGGGCCCCGTCAGAAATACTATTATACTGCACATAATTAATGAACTGCTTATTCAAATACATTTAAAACTATTATTCATGCCGTTTACGTTTCAAAAGTTCCGACCATTTCTTTGAAAGGACTCCTTTTTGGTTATTAATTAAAAAATCTTGCCGTCTTCTGCGATTTTTAAATAGTTCCAAGTTGAGGCGGAACGGATCGAAAAGCGTAAATATTTTTTGTTCGCTATTCATTATTTACTGCAATTACTTACCACTGAGTGGTTGAAATTTACTCGTATTTAGGTACTGCCTACTGAAAATATTATTCATTTTTCATAACTTCTGAAAGTAAACACCTCCTAGTAGTCTAGTAGTGAGTATAAATTTTGGAAAAATGCTATCAACTTCATTTTATTTAGCATGTAACATCACGCTACCAGGGATTTTATTTTGTTAGATAGTACCACAAAAAGTTTCTTAAAAATAGTCTTTCTCTATTTACACTTAAATAAACACTACTCTTTAATATACACTAGTACTTTTAGGTACTTTTAGGTATATACTTTCCAGGGTCAAGGATGAGATTTAAATAATATGACCTCAAAGATTCGTCACCGAAGCGTACAGACAGGTATTATCATAAGGTTCATTCAGTAGGTATTAATACTTCTAATTGTATAAATATGACATGGAAGCAGAAACTGTCTTTCCATAAATACAGTTTTTGCATGTACCTATGCTTTCAGTGGGTCTGTACATTAGCGTTCAAAATAATAAAAATATAGCAACTATACAAAGGCGCTATATTGTCTTCTGTCACAAATAAACAGGAAAATATTTTCATATTATTCTTCAAGTCTTTTTATAAGTACAGAATAACCTTTACCCACATCACATACTTCAATAAAACAGCCAGCCAGTCGACGACACGAGGCAAAAAAGTTTCATCAGCGCAGCGCAGTCGGTTACAAGAAAATGTTTCTGCAAAAATAGAGCTTCATCGTCTTTGATACAAACCGACCAATCTTGGCTGACCTGCCCCGCCCCGGGTCTCCCCTACCATCGGTATTATAAAAGTATCAACGTGTGTCTGTTATTATCGATTTCACCTTTTTTACTTGAATTTCCAAGAGTTTTTGCCTAATATGTTCCTAGACTATGCATCGATCTTTCCTCACAGGCTGTTTTCATAGTGTCAAGTATTATAAAATTATTATTGCCCCTAAGTTGCGCATGAAGTGACATCAGAATTTTTTAAATTTACCTTACCTAGTGTTATCAAAATCTAACTATAACTTATATTACAATTATAGGTAAGCTATGCTTTCAGCACCATACAGCCCCAATTTTCACAAGTGAAAATAAGAAATAGATAAAATGACATGCATCGACCGGGGATCGAACCCGGGCCGCATGGGTAAACGCCCCACCGCTCTGCCACTGAGCTATCGATGCACGGCCGATGAACGCCAAATTATCTATCTCTTGATGCTGTCTCAAGCGACGATCCAGCGACATCTGTAGAAAGTATTTAGAACTTACTACATGGTTAGTCCACATTATGAGTGGAATTCAAACCATATGATGAAGCTTGCTTAATCAATCTATTGGGATTGTAATGCACTCACAGTGCTATATTATTCTCACAAGTGAAAATAAGAAATAGATAAAATGACATGCATCGACCGGAGATCGAACCCGGGCCGCATGTAAAACCGCTCTGCCACTGAGCTATCGATGCACGGCCGATGAACGCCAAATTATCTATCTCTTGATGCTCGTCTCCAAGCGACGATCCAGCGACATCTGTAGAAAGTATTTAGAACTTAATACATGGTTAGTCCACATTATGAGTGGAATTCAAACCATATGATGAAGCTTGCTTAATCAATCTATTGGGATTGTAATGCACTCACAGTGCTATATTATTCTCACAAGTGAAAATAATAATATTTTGGCGTTCATCGGCCGTGCATCGATAGCTCAGTGGCAGAGCGGTGGGGCGTTTACCCATGCGGCCCGGGTTCGATCCCCGGTCGATGCAGGTCATTTTATTTATTTCTTATTTTCACTTGTAAGAATAATATAGCACTGTGAGTGCATTACAATCCCAATAGATTGATTAAGCAAGCTTCATCATATGGTTTGAATTCCACTCATAATGTGGACTAACCATGTAGTAAGTTCTAAATACTTTCTACAGATGTCGCTGGATCGTCGCTTGGAGACGAGCATCAAGAGATAGATAATTTGGCGTTCATCGGCCGTGCATCGATAGCTCAGTGGCAGAGCGGTGGGGCGTTTACCCATGCGGCCCGGGTTCGATCCCCGGTCGATGCATGTCATTTTATCTATTTCTTATTTTCACTTGTGAGAATAATATAGCACTGTGAGTGCATTACAATCCCAATAGATTGATTAAGCAAGCTTCATCATATGGTTTGAATTCCACTCATAATGTGGACTAACCATGTAGTAAGTTCTAAATACTTTCTACAGATGTCGCTGGATCGTCGCTTGAGACGAGCATCAAGAGATAGATAATTTGGCGTTCATCGGCCGTGCATCGATAGCTCAGTGGCAGAGCGGTGGGGCGTTTACCCATGCGGCCCGGGTTCGATCCCCGGTCGATGCATGTCATTTTATCTATTTCTTATTTTCACTTGTGAGAATAATATAGCACTGTGAGTGCATTACAATCCCAATAGCCCCAATTTTCCTTTTCCATACATAAAATTGCCCTTACTTTCTACGTAGGTATTCGTACTTGCTGTAAAAATAAACTGCAGACGGAACCATCGGCAGTAACAAAACTCAAACCGACTGTATACTCGTAGAATGTATATCCGAGCAGAGTTCAGTGCGGACTGGTGGAAAGAGATTTCCCGGAATTTGTGCGATGTTTTTCCCCGTTTCTTTTGACATTTTCGCCGTCCGGGCGCCCCCACCCTCCTTCTCATTGTTATTATTTCCACCGAGTCTTCCGGAGTAAGTAGAGACACCGTCAGTCTCTTCGTAGAGCTTTTTAGGGGTTCCTAGCTTGACAAAATGAGTGCAGTGCAGAGGACATGGTTTGTAATGCAGATGACAATTACCAACTTTCCTTTGTTACAAAAAGAAATGAAACGACATGAGACTGAGAACAACATTTTTTGCGTTAGGGTGACTAAACATAACAAAGTAGAAGCCAACAAAATCTATTTCAGGACCAACCGTTTCAAAATTCAATTAAAAAAATTGAGGAAAGGAGCATAAATGCTCTGCGCAAGAAAGAGTCTATTTCAGGGCCCGTCACAAGTAGATTTGAAGTTACCATAGGTTTTAAGCCCTTATACACAGCTCTAAGAAGTGCTCTTTCGCGTTTTGCCATCTTGTTTTGTCGTGAATGCAAATACCTACATAAATATCGTATGCAGCCTCGCTATTCTCACATATACCTATATTTTATATAGGTACTGTACATACTGGGTATGTATGTAGGTATGTACAGTTTTTATTCGAACACACGCATTCACATCGGAACGGATAGCGCTTTTCGATTAAGCCTTTTGTTATTCACCGCTTTCCTCCCGCGGCACACGTCCCTGATTTTGTACAAGAGGGTTGAATGTGTTAACTGCAACTGTTCACGCATAAATAAATTCAGTAAAAAGATTCTGTAATGTGGAATAAATTTGGAATAAGAGTCTGAAATTGTTGTTGTTCAAATTGTCAAAGGTTTTGGTTGGTCATGATCATGAACCACATATTACCAAAAACGTTTTTTGTTTAAGGCAGTTCTCAGAAGCACAACACAATTTTCCGGTGTTTTGCCGGATGTGGATTTTTGACAGAGGAAAATTACGAAATCTTGTTCACAAACCGGATATGATGACATACGACACCGCGTCAATATCCTATCACAGAATGCTCTCCTATCACTTGTTTTTTTTGCGATTTACCTAATTTTATGGAGATATGACATTAAATAATTAGAATTATTCGTATGACCAATCAAACGTTTTCAACAACAACATTGAACATAGGCTCAGCTAAAGCTGTGATTGATAATATTGTAGTAAACAATTCATTCTAACCTTGTAGTATAGTACCGGGAACCGATATTATAATGCATTTATCAACGCAAGCTATTATTAATGGGCTATTAATCACCAGCGGTAAATTGATACCATTGGCATCGAATTTATAACACAATTTATTGTTTTTTAATACGTGCACGAGGCTTATTTTAATTTCAACAAAAATCATTATAATTTTTCGTGCATAATGAAATGAGTAATCTGAATAATAAAGTACGTTATGTACCTAACTTGTTCTAAGCATCTATCTGATAGAAAACAGATGTAGGTAGGGACTAGTAGGGAGTCTCGCAACCATAGCTAAATTTCAGTTTTGCCAAAGTGGATAAATGCAATCCAGTTTTCCCAAGAAAATAAACTGTTGAACTAAATTAATAGTAACAATGGAGTAGATATTGGAATTCCTGCAGGCCTGGCTCGGTGTGCAGATGGCATATCGAAATCCCATTGCAACATTGCACTGCGAACTTTTAATCAAGTTCTGGAGGAACGATTTACTATGATCATAGACTAAAACTAAAATACCTGCTGCAGAAGAGGCATAGTAGGCGAAGCATTAATATGACAACCTTACACGACTTCAAGTTCTCTGATTTTTAGGACTGATAACAGTGAAATTACTTCTTGGAAATTTTTCCATAATAACAGATACCTCTAAAAGAAAACTAAATATTAATTTTGATAATATGGGGATGGGGAATGATTTTTCTTAAACGGAGATGATTATAGGTACTTATTCCAAGTATTCCAAGAAGTAGTTATGGGAGAAGGAAAGCAATGATTGAAAAATTGGAGCTGTCCTCGCCTTAGATTGGTATTAAAGATCCGTGATTTATCTTTTTGCAATGTCGTCGATAATTCTTTGATCTATGTTATTCAGATTTAGGGGTCGGTATAACGTCCGCGGGTGAAGAACCCAACTGTATGGTAGTATCTGGCACAATGGGCAGCATAGGTATTCTCAGATCTCCTCAAGTTGTTATCTCTCTCCTACTTTTCGCTCCTGCATGTCTGAAGATCGTGGTCACGGTGGGTAAGTCTGGCAACCTGTTATAGGCACATTAAGTCTATTTTGTACTATTCGCTCCATCTACCTCGTTAATATGCCCAGCGCGGCCGCAGGGCTTGGCACATCTTAGCTCTCCCTAGATTGCTATAGGAATATTTCCTTTTAATTGTTGTTGCTAGCTAATTGCACTATCTGCCTCGTTGGTCTATGGCCACCGCAGCCGCAGCGCCTGGCACCGCGGCCCGCACATCATTTTCTCTTCTTTACTAACCTATGCACATTGCTTTGAATTTTTGTTGCTTGCTATTTGCACCATCTGCCTCGTTGGTCTATGGGTACCTCGGCTGCAGAGCGCCTGGCACCGCGGGCAGCACATAATTTTCTCTTCTTTACTAACCTATGGACTTTGCTTTTTAGTTTTTGTTTTCTAGCTATTGCACCATCTGCGCTGTTGGTCTATGGCCACCGCGGCCGCAGCGCCTGGCACCGCGGGCAGCACATCATTAATCACTACTTTTAGCTGCATGCCCTGCACAGCTACCTACTAGATATATGCGCCCGTATATCTTTTAATAGGATCGTTGCTCGAGTGAAATTCGCTGGAAACCGAAGCTTTTAAGTTTTTTACGTTGCTTTGTGAGAATAAGCTGATTATGGAATTTAAGGGTGTTTGGAGCTGATTGCAAAAGAAAGCGTTGGGTGGTGAGATGGTTATGAAGCTCAATGCAGTTGTGAATTCGTGGTGCAGATGGCAAATTGTTTTTAAAATTACACACGTTAACGTCTTTATACTTTTCAGGGCCATAAAAATACGGTCATTATTGCCACATCTGACACTCATGGTAATTTATAGGTTGAACAAAGTTGTGAAAAGTTGTATTTGTAATACTAACTTCATAAATGAAATCATTTCATGTGGGACGCAGATTCATCCGACAACTTGACGGACCCTATCTACCTATAGGTATTGAAACAAAATACCTACCTACCTATCTATATTAATCTAAAACATTTATTAGGCACCTACCTACAAATACTGTTAACTTGATACCAAAGTTGTACAACATATGGCTGAACTAAGCATAATTTTATCAGCAGCGCCGCCATTGTTAATGAGACAAAGGCCAACTTGCTGAGTCACTGTAAAAGGGTGAAATGTCGAACAGTAGTTAACGGTTTCCATACCTTCGGGGTGGGGGTTCGATTCTTTGTCCGATTAATTGAGCGAGCTGCGAGGTGCTACTTTTTTACCGATGTTCTAAAAGAAGGATTGTGTACTCTAGTTTAGTTATTCATCTTTCTATATGTAGGTACTTGCACTGCATTACGATACTACTCCACTCGTGGGTAAAATCAATATTATTTTTTGGGGGAGCTTAGGTACAGCCTAAAAAACATATTGATTAAGTGCACAAACAAATGCCAATTACAAGCTTCCACATCATTGTTCCACATATATGCGCCTTCAAATGCCGAGCATGGTAGTAGGTAATATAATAGTTCATCTAAGGAAAGATCCAAGCACATAATGCACTGTAATAAAAAATCAAAATGAACATATGTTTCGTTCATTCCTAACATATTTTGTAAGTAGGTATTTCTATAATTAAAAATATTATGAACTATATTACTAAATGCAATAGATTTTTGTTA